GGAGGCTAGCCAAGGCGGCCGATGTGACATGGTGGGGTCGACTGGTGGCGTACTGGGCCGTGAACTGTCTCACCAGAGTATGGAAATTGTCAATGGACTCAGTTGGCAATTGGGTGTACCAATTGAGTGCGGCCCCTTTGAGCGAGGTCGAAAAAACCCTACACAAAATAGCATCATTGTTAGTGTAGAGGTTTACCTGTGTTGTATACAGGTCGATGTGCTCATCCGGGTCTGTCGTGCCATCGTAACAGTCGAGGTGGAGAGGCTTCCATCCGTAAGGGAGTGGCGTCTCCATGATGCCATCCACAAAAGGATGACGGCGGAAGGTTGCTTGACCCCTCGTGACATGAGTAGGGGCCTTGCTGACTTCATGGGCCGACTTGTTCGTCGGTGCATGAGACCGATGCGTGGCAGGTCGTGGAGTCGGTGCCCTAGTCGCAGTTCGGGGTTGAGAGACCGAATGCCCTTCTTCCTCGTGAAGGTTGCTCGCCTGAGGAGGGTGATCAGAAGGGCATCGAGGGAGCTGGGCGCGAATCCGCTTGTTTTCGGCGCGTAGTGCCACTAGGTCAGCTTCATTAGCGGTCCGCATTGCTGCTAGGTCGGTTTCGTGCTTGGCACGCATGTTTTGCATATCGGCGTCGTGTTGTTGCCGCATCTGTTCGACCTGGTAGATCAGTCTCCTCAATGTGGCTTCGTTATCCATGGTATCCGTGTGATCTAGGTCGTCTATTGCGCGTCTGCTATGGCTTCTGGTGCAAACCATAAGTGTGGCTGATAAGAGTTGTCTTGATCGGCCTCACGGTAGGCGCCAAATGTTCTTACCGGGGATCTGAGGTAGAGTTGATCCGCTGGGTAAGGTCGGTGAGCCTCCTTCACTGGTACGCTTGATGTTCCAAGGTGGGGGTGGTACCTGCAAAAGAGACTTCGATGTTAAAGTTAGGGTTTGTGTGAATATGAGTCTCGTATAAGTAATGCACGTACCTTGGTGTGAATTAGGGTTTCGTTGGGCCTTGGGCCTGAGATCAGTTATGATCTGATTAGATAGCGGATCTCGTCTAGACCGAGATCTCCCAGCACATGTCCGAGGTCGTTCTGCGCTGTGATATCGAGCTCGAGCTCGGCATGGCGGTATGGATAGTACAATATTATTTTATGTGTTATTAGTATTTATTAATATCAGTTTTATTTTAATTTAATTATAAATAAAGTATTAAATCTTAAATCAATACTTAAATCGGTTTAATTATCGGTAAAAAAATTAGTGGTTCATGTGAATAAAAAAAATGTTTTGTACATATGTATACAAAATTACCCCTATATATACCACAATAACATGGCAAAAACAAAAAACTAAGTTTATCTGCATTTCATTCTTTTCATTTGTTTTATATTATTATTATTATCCGAAGGATGCAGCCAAGGAATGTGACTTTGTTGGTTAGGATCTCTCCCCCATTAGATCAGACATTCTGCTTACCCTTCAAGCTCATGTTATGTGTGTTCAACTTTCCACTAGTTAGATTACTGATTTTCTTCTTTATGGTGTCTTTACTTTATTATGCAAATATATATATATA